GTAGAATAGAAAATCAGCTCCACAGTGATTTTTGTTGTCTTTCGTGTACATGTGTAAATGAATGTTGATGAGTGTGATCTTATCGTCCGATCAATGTTCTGTTTACGTTTGCCTATGTCGCCTCGAATTAAGATGTACAACGCAATTAGGTGTAACTCAGTGTTAATATGTTCCTTTATGTTTGTTTATTCTATAATATTTGTGTAATATAATGATAAAGTTGATACAATTCCCATCAGTGGTGTCAAAGGTTATCGATAAGGTTAAACTTAGAGAAGAAATGTGATTCTATACGGCCTAGTTTGACTATTGTGTGCTCACTGGACAGAATGTTCAAATAACTTGAGCGTTCTTGAAAGCACTGGCACTGGTCTGGGGCCCAGATGGTGTCAAATGAATAAATGGTGTGTTATAAACAGCCCGGATCTGCAGGGCAAAGTGCTCCCAACTGTATCAACACTGAAATGACCATTACTCAGCCCGGACGGACATCACAGCATCTCTTCCACACAGCATGTATGTCTTCATAAAGACGGGGGCATTGGGACACTTGTGTGAAAATGACTTGTCTCAGTGCAGAAACAGAAGGGTAGTAATTTCCCATGGGAGCACCTTGAAATGTTTTCAATGTATTTTTGAGATTTTCTTCCCCCATATCACCAAAAGAAAATAAAATAACTCCCACTGTGTAGGAGCCTGCATCTTTAACCATGTCAAGGGGTCACAGTTAACATTATTAAGTCACCCACAGCTGTTCTCTAAAGCGCTGTAATATCATGATATCGATAGCAAAGAGGAAAATACATGAACTTGTTTTTTCAGATGGAAAACATCAAAATTATCCAATGGACCAGAGGCTTGCTCACTTTCTATGATCATGACGCAACATTCGGACAAAGTTGAAATAGGAAACTGATATTCAGACATTGTTAGTTGGACACAGAGCTGGAGATTTTTCCCACCTGCGTGCATTCAGTCCAGCAGAGACTGCGTCATCGCTCAGAGGTGGTGAGGTAATACGGCCATGCCCTGCAGTGACTGATGGTTCAGAGCTCAGGTGTTGGCGGTCAAGCAGCCATGACTTCATTAACAGGCAAACTTCACATGCTACAAACGTATACTGTCATCGCTCTGAATGTTTTGCACCCTGGGGATGAATGACTCTAGATCCGCTGTCATTACCAAGTGAAATAAAGATATAGCATTTAAACTTTGTGCTTAACTTTTGCCTGAAATATTTGCAAACCAGTTGCATTGGCAAATTAAGGCAAGAGATTGCAATACTGATACAGCACCATGCGATGGCGTAAATACTTCCAGTCAACGTCTGCCTCAGAGTGTTTAGTTTTTTTATGCACCTTTGCCCTTATGTGCATATTTCAACTGAGTTTCCTGTGTGAGAATATATTTCAAAGATGTAAAAATATTTTTAAACGTTGCGTGGATCCTTAAAATAATAAGTGATTTTGATGCATGCCTATTGGCTGCCAAACATCATGGGAAAGCATTTCTCTGTAATACAGCCTCCATGTGGTGTATGGGAATGGAAAAAGGGAGGGTGAAGGATAAATGTGCACTGGATATTAGAGCACTGGTCTGCAAATGAAATGTAAAAACTGCAAAACCACACTGAAGAATGAGAACATACTGCATGTCCCTTTGTCTTTTAAACATATCATGAGACTCTCTTGAAGTTCGGTTTAACCTCTGTGCAGATACACTATTCGTTTGAGTTATGGTAGATATCAATAAAGAAATCAAAAACTTCTACACACTTTTTCCATCGCAGATTTCACCGTTAATGTTTTTCTGCTCAGGGATTGTCTTGTGTATCTTGAAGCTGTTTGGACTGTGAGATAGTTGCTGTTGTTCTCAAGAGGTCTACTTCATCATCTCTGTCCAAAATTTATGTGGCAAGTATGTTCATGAGAGCCCCACATCTGCGGCCACCACGTCGTGGTTCGGATCTCTGTTTGGCTCATACTCCTGTCTCTGAGGTCAGCCTGCAGAGCCCCTGGCCCAATAATCACACCAGACCCATATCAAGCCCATATGAAGTCAATAAAATATAATTTAAACCAGATCCTGATTGGTTTTATGTCCCCCTTGTGTGTGTGTGTGCATGAGCAATGGTTACGGGAACTGTGCATACACACACAAAGAAAATATTTTAACGTCAATCCATCTCAAAATACGTGTGTATGTAAGTTTATATGTGTATAAAGTGGATGGCAATGGAAAGAAAGAAAATGAGATAGTGAGCGTGTTGAGTGTCAAAACTAAAGGTCAACCCTTTATTTCTTTCCAGGATACAGCACAAAATCACCATTCTACAGTACTTAAAAAAGGAGATTAGAAAAAAACAATTATACAAATTAGATTCGCCCAGTGAGTCTATAAATTGCTTGAAAAGGCCTGACTCAGCAAAAAGTCAATATTAAAAAATACACGAGGAAAAGCAGAAAGAAACAATAAGCCGATAACCAACATCTTGTGTTTGTGGCCGAACAGTAGTAGCATTGACGAAAGCATTAAAGGCTAAAAGTGAAAACACACATGGAAACCAAAGTAACAGCACTGCTTTTAGAGCGTCTGCGCAGTCGTTCCTTTCAAGGCAAAACCAGAAATTTCCTGGATGTGTGGCGCCACTGGCTTTTAGCCACAGGGAGAGGGTGTGTCAGTGAAGCCCATCTCCATTATAAGGTCCACTGGTGATAAGTAGAACTTAGCTCCAGCTCCTGTGGTGGGATTTTGTTTCTTTATTTTTTTTGGAGGGTCAAGGGTCGATCTCCATTGGAACAACAGTGAGGATGGCGTCCTCGTTTCCACGGCGCACGACTACTCTCAAGCTTCCCTCCTTCTTGATGGCGGCACTGACATCCGTCGCTGTTGAGATCCTCTGGCCGTTGATGGAGATGATGACGTCGTGCTCTTTCAGGCCGGCGCTGGAGGAGAGAACAAGAGGAGATGACTGATCAAGAGTCACAAAGTGTTGTGGGTGAGCAGGAAATGGGAGACAAACAATTGTTGGGTTTTGTCTTTTCATGAAATATGTAAACAATGACAACGGGATTAAAACTCAGTTGAGCACAAATTAATGAAACTTTTCATGAAGTATTTCTTGGGAAAAGCTTTAAATGTTGAAAAACTGGCAATGTTAAATAAAGTGATAAAAATGTGGATCTGGATCAGGGGTGGATCCACATTTTTATCACTTGGAATCGACGGAAGGTGAAAACATTCAATAATAGATGTGCCAGTTTTATGACAATTACATGTGTTGCAATAATTACGTAGGGAAACAGTAGGTTAATAGTCAACAGATGTAACAGCTCACAAACAAATAGAACTTGTACATCTGTGATCTGTGAGCACAATCTGTGTCAATATAACATCTGTTGTAGAAACCTTAACGATGCAACGATAATGAAGGAATGAGAGAACAACAAGTTCAGAGCACTGAGCAATTGAAAACGTGTTGAGAAGACGTATAAACATACTGAAGAAAACAACCTAGTAAACCTGAAACCACACACAGGCTGAGGCAGTAACCAGCCGCGATATCAAACGCTGACTCCCAACACAGCCGCTCAATCACATCCACATGTAAACATAGACCACCGCACCTTCCCTTGTAACAACGACTGCAGCTCAGTGTTCCCTCACTACCCTCTGCTGCTCTCACACCTCCAACGCAGCAAATGGAAGGTTCTCTACAGCAGGGTCAAGATTTCCAAAGTTAATAAAACCGGCACAAATAAACGCATGAAAGTGCAGGCTAGAAAATAACGCAGCGTATAAAAGGAACCACAGAAATGTCATTATGCAAAGAAGCAGGGGCGATTTGAGCGACGGGTAAACTCTGACGAGGCCTCGCAGGAGGAGACCGCTCCAGAGAGGGCTGGGTGAGCAGGCGCAGGAAAACCACAGTGCAGCGAGTAACCTCCCTCCATGAGGTTTAGAAGGAAACAGCTGACCTCAGCATCTCCTGAGCCCGACTGCACTGGAGCTGTGGTGGTGGCTGATTGGAGTGGGCTGCAATTGTGGGAGGAGGGGGATATTTTAGGAGGCCAGGAACTTCAGGCACGCTAGAGTGAGCTACGAATTTATGTGCGACTAAGACATTTGTGTGGGAGGCTGCTTGTGAGTTTTCAGTGTGTGTGTGTCCACGTGCACACTTTACAGTTGGTGGAGAGAAATGTAATAAAGGAAGGAAATAAATATACTGTGTATTTACATTAAGAGAGGCCAGTGGGAGCTATGTGGAGAGTGATGGGGCTCTTGTGTTGCGTTAATTGCCAAAGACAATACCCCACGGCTCAGAAAGAGCCAGAAAAACCCCACATTTGCACTTCACTGAAAACCATAGTGCTGCAGCTAAGCACACAAAATATCACATCTTACACTGCAGCCGGTGTTTTTGCAATGACTTCCATAACGTAAGCTCCAGAGGTGATGTCAGGGAAGTCATGGTGTCGAGTCTTCAGCTCTTTGGCCAGTCTAGAGGTAG